CAAAAATATATTCTTATTAACTTGTTTACCTTATTAAAAACATTAGCTCTTTTTATTTCTAATTCTTTATTAAAAGGAGACTTAAATATTCACAAAAGTAGACAGAATGTTGTAAAAAAACCCCAGGTACTCATCACCAGTCTAAACATAATCAACTCATGGGCAATTTTATATTATCCATAATTCAACCTACATTCCTATCTACCATATTATTTAAAAACAAATTCTAAACATTGTATGATCTCATCAGTATATATTTGAACATGACCTCCAAATAAATTTTAAAGCACAACCATGATATGATTATTCCACTAAAAATAGGATAATTTATTAATATTTAATATTCAGAGTGTGTCAAATTTCCAATTATTTCATTAGAACTTTTTAAGGTAGTTTAAATCATTATCCGATAGTTGTACACATTGTGATGGGTTGCTCTATTTTTACATTTCTTTTAATCTATAAGCTTCCCTGGCATCTTTTTTTGTTCCTGGTCACTTATTTGAAGGAACTGGGTTGTTTTTATTGTAGGTTGCCATACCCTGGATTTTGCTCACTTCATGTTATGGTGTAGTGCAGAGCATATTCCTCGCCCCTCTATTTCAGTTGAAAACTGGAGGCTCTATTTCTTTCATTGCTTTTTCTCTTTTCTTTTTCACTTTTTTGGTTAGTTATAGCTATCATTTTAATGGTTGCCTAAGTTTTACCTTATACTTTGCCAACTGTTTGTCTTATTGTAGTTCCCAGACTTTTATCCAAAGGTCTTTGAATGTTTCTCTCATGCTACTTAATAAAAAATTCTAATCTTATATGTAAATGGCCTGTGCACAAATCTTTTCATTTAGCTGTGCTTCTTATCATCATGGTTCTCCTCCAAATACACTGGCTTATTAATTTCAATTTTAAAATGTGTTCTTGGATTTAAAAATAATATTCTCTATGTGATCTATTACTTTCCTTGAACAGGAGACCATAACATGGAAGTAATTAGACTTGAACCTAGTGCTTTGTTCTCTTTCTCCTCCCCCTACCCACAAGTCATCTGCACTTAAGCCAGAGTAGTTGCTCTTGATTTGGGCAAAGTAAACACAGATATGTAAGCTGGATCTGTTCCTTTTCTTAAATTCACTATCCGTTGCCCTGTATGATATAACTTGTGTACATAGCTGTTAAGTAGTCTAGCTGTGAATTATTGATCTTTCTCCTTCAGAGCAACAGTGAGTCCTCATGTAGTATAGGTTTTGTCAAAGTAGTGCATTGTGTGAAATAAATGGTTATGTATCAAATCCTCTTAAAGATTTGTTAAAGAAGCAGTGATATATGGCTGAACTATGCATCCGTAGTAAAATTACCCTTCTTTTGAATCTTGAAGTTACGTAATAGTTTAGAAGTTGAAAAAATTATATGTTATAGCTTCAAAAAAAAAGAATTTTTCTCAACTAAGTGTTCTACTAATGCTAAGTTAATTATATTTTAAGACTCCTTTGACTAGAATCCATTATGTAAATTTTTTATTTCCTCATATTTTGGTGGTCCTTGGACCCAAAGAACACAATTATGTAAATGTTATGTAAAGCATAAGTTGATTATGTATTAGTTAATTGGCAATTTGAAAACATTACCTATTTATCAACTTTTTCAACAAAGCTATTAAGAATTAATTAAACTTCACTTAATTATCAAATTGCTCAAATGGTATTTTTTGCATAGTGGTTTATGCTGTCAAATAGATGCTGAAATTGGTAGTTGAAAGTTCATCTGAACCTCAGAAGGGGAACTAATTTTGGCACTTGTGTAGGAATAATTGAGCCTCTGGAAAGAAAAGAAGAAGTTATTTATAGTCTTCAACTTTAGTGTGGTTTGAGTCTAATCCAGTCTGTGGCCAGCTTTAGCCTACCCAAAGCAGCATGAGCCACACCAGAACAAAGGCTTAGTGTTGGCCCTCATCAACATCCAAATTAATAGCAGGCTAACTATTAATTCAAAAAGCAAGAAGTATTCAACATGATTCTATGATCAGAGATGGGGGTGTGAATCTTAGCTCACCATATGTACCTGTGTGAATTCAGGCAAATTTCTAACATCTCTAAACCTTAGGTTCCTATCTATAAATAACAATAATAAAGTATCTATTTCATTTGGTTGTCCTGAGGATTAAATAATCATATAACAAGCTTAATACTGTGCTTGAAATATAATGTCTTCTGAATAAATGTGAATTATTATCATTATAATTATCTTTATTAATTTATCATGACCAGAACAGAGAGCTGTCATGTCCCTAAAATCCTTTGGAATTCAACTTTTTCCTAGTTCTAGTTAATCTATGGTTCTGTACCTAAAAGACAATTCCATACTTTGCATTATTTCCTTTCTTTTGTCACATGATATAATCCAGCTTGGAACATGCAGTGGAAATCTACATGAAGAGATCAGTCATGTTTAAAGACATGTCTTGCATTATGGTTGAATAAGTACTGGGATAAACTAAAGAAGACATGAGTTGTACTCTCAGACCTCCTCTAATTATTCATGATCATGAGAGAGCCATATAACTGTATAAGCCTCAGTTTTTTCAAAAATTGAGGTGCTGACAGTGGACTGGAGCTCTCTCATGGGCTACTTTAGCTCTAATTTCTTAAAGTGCTAGAGGTGTTTACTTGTTTTGGGATAAATGGATTGGAAGAGTAATCAGTAGATGTCATAAGGCTACTAATGCAGTGTTTACATTTCAGTAATGTATCCAAAAGTGGTGCAAAAGAAATATAGAAGATGAGAGGAAAGAATGTTCCAGGTTGCACCTAGGCCCTGTAAAAAATTGCACCTCTAAAAGAAGGTAGGATGAGACGCAGCAAATAAGAATCATGAAGACAAGATGAAAAGTGTATAGTAGAACAGCACACAAGAAATGGTACAGACAACCACCGAGGATGACTATGGTACTAACCTTAAAAGTTAGCTCTTTGGAGCTGGCAGTCTAGTTATCATTTGAGAAATATGATTAATACATCATTCCAGAAAATGATAAGAGCACAAAATTGATGTTCAAATGACATTGATCCTATGAACAGTTAAGGCCAGGGAGTAGGAAATGACCATCACCCAGGAACTAGGTAGCATTTTTATATTTTTAATTTATTACTAATTCAATGATTTTTAATGGGTGACTCCAGGAAGTCTTCCATTAACACTTTAAACTCTCCCACAGAAACAAAAGTTCTATTTCCTATTCTGGAATTCTCCTGTAAAAAGTTTTATAAATTAAGTGTAAAGCTCCACAGAGCATAATCTATAGACAAGCCAAAATGTTTTGGCCAAGTGACCTCCTGAATCAGCTGGCAGCCCTGTGCAGACACAGAGAAATATATTCATAGGTATATTAATAACTCGCGCAAGGCTAAGCAAGAAGTTTTATAGAAAGCACACTTTAAGATAAACTAAAGGCCATATGACTCAGAATATCTAAAGAATAGGAAAAATGCTATTTATATTTAGTTTGCAAATTCTCAACTAAAATTGGTGAAGAGTAAACCTGATATCTTCTTACAGAAAAGAGAAAACACCAACTAGGTTTCAGGGAGCTAACTTCTAATCTTGGCAATACTGTGGTCTTGAGCAAGTCACCGAACATCTGAGCTACAGTTTCTATTTCTGCAAAATGGAGATAATAATGCTGACTTAATTGAATAGTGTTAGGTTTAAATAAGTAAACACACATAAAGTCCTGAGCAAAATGCCTGATATACATAGAAATTTCTCAATAATTGTTTTTGTTAATTTAGGGTGTCAGACTAAATTTCTCAATGGAAAGTACAAGTAAGGCATTTCTGCTTATAAATATAGAAAAATCCTCAACTCTAAAATCACAGTGTGTCTATAGTAATGTCTTCCCAAAGAGCCAACACCTCATGTTCTATTTTTCAGTTGTCTGATTAAAAACAAACCAGCACAGCACTCGACTTGGAAGCCATCAAGAGCACCACCTGTCTGATTTCCTTACAGCTGTCAGAAGCAAATTTCAGACCCACCTCTTAAATTGTTACCCAAGCTAGAACCAGACTGTGTCTGTATTTAACATGGTTTGGTTGTTTTAAAGGGTCTTTTTATTTTAAGAAATATATATATACTTCTACATTATATATCTATATATTTACATATATACACATATTTTATGTATATTACATATGTAAAACAATTACTACCATGATGAAATAATAAAAATCATATGCTGTACTTATGGCATGTACCTTTTCAAAATAAGCATTGAAACAGAAAACATTTATTTTAATATAAAGATAGAATTCATTATTTAGAGGGAAAAGAAACATGAGTATGTAAAAAGAATCAGAATTTGGCCACTTTTAAACTGCTTTATTTTAAAAATCATATTGATCTATAGTGATTTTGTGCAATTCCAAAACTTATCTCTCTGAATATCCACCAATAGTAAAATACGAATGAATTTTGCAAAAGAGCTTAAGTCTTAAATTGTATACAAATCTATATGTGCATGTATTTAAACACTTTAATTAGAAAGGAAAAACAAATTTAAGATCTCCATCTTAAAATATCATTAGGCAAAATGCTCAAAATCATTTTTCTAAGTTTAAACATTAAATGCAACATTTCAAGTTCAAGTGGTCTCTATCCTTGCAAGCCTTGTAATTTGTGCTAGGTAAGCTATCAGCCATGTTACATGACCACAGCTATTTATAGAGGTGTGGGTGATACTAGTAACTAGTGGGACTTTGGCATAACAAAGAAATTTCCACATGCAAAATTTCAGAGAAACCTCTTCTCATTCCCCCAACACACAGATCTGTCCACCTCTCAGTTCCCAAATCCACTTCTCTGATCCCGTATAGAATTATTTGATCAAAACAATGAACTAAAAGCAACATTTTAAGGTCTAGTTGATACATTGACTGCCAATGTGGCTGTCAACTTCTACCTTTTTTTTTTTTTTTCTAGTTGATACTATTGGAAAATGGTAGCAATACCTTCAGCAGTGATCTCAGTCATGGTGGTTCCAGAAAGGAAAAGGCAGGCCACAAGTTCCGGTCAAGTGGCACTTTGCAGAATACTTTAGGGTTTGAGAACTCTGATGGGGTGTTCTGTGTGACAACGGGAGGGCTCTTCGTTTTCCTGGTTGTTTCTGCTGCTCCTTTGTTGTCTTGCTGAACTTTGTCTCTGCAGAGTTCTCCCCCTGGAAACAACCTGAGCCCTTTCCAAGCAGCACTTGTGGCTCAGGCAGAAGTATCAGCTTCGAATAAAAATAGCCTCATCTCCCTAGGACTCTTCTGCACTTATTCTTTTTTTTTCTCTTTGGCACTGAGGGAACACGTACACACACACACACACACACACACACACACACACACACGCATGCACGCACGCACGCACGCATACCAGTTGCCCAGCCCCAAAGAGACACAGGCAAAAAAAAGGCAAATGAACTAAAAAGTACTGTCTAAGCCCCCGCAGTTTTCCCAAGATAATTACAGATCTTGGGGTCTATGTCAGAAAACATAAAAAAAAATAAGTTGAAAGTAATCTTATCCACGATAGCTCAGATTTATTCTTAGTGCCTTTAATGCTCAGAACATTCCTCTTCCCCTTATTTGGTGTGGGGAGGGTCCTGTAATGTCTAGCAGAGGCAAAGGGGAGGGTAATCTTAAGTCATTTTCTCCACCTTCATTCCCTATTAGCCTAAATCCACTTGGCAAGTGTAGTTATTTATATAGGGCTATGCTTAAAGTTGCAACTATTACATCTTGAAACTTCCTTGAAGGACGTTAAGATTATTCAAACACTAGCCAATAAGAAATTTGTGATATGAAGTTATTTGACACTTGAGAACAGATGAATTTATAGATTTCTAATTAACTTTAATGTCTTACTAAAAACAAAATATCTGAATTTATTTATGCAATGAAAGAGAAGGTGACACAGTGTATAAAAATCCGCAGCCCACATCTCAGTAAAAGAAAGATTTCAGCTTCTCCCTACCTCAACTTCAAAATAAATAAATAAATCAAAAGGATCACAGCAGCTAACAATTAGCCAGATTGGCTGATTAGCATTTCACCTTTCCGGTCCTAGCCAGATGTTAACGGACAGAGAATTATTCAATGGTTTCGTGGCTGAAAGGAGAAGATGAATCAAAGGGCATCCATAGTCACAAATTCTAGCTAATTTGTAACTTTTATTTTATTCTCATATTCAATCTAACAATGTTTACAGTTTAAACTTTTAGCTTTAACTTGCTGCCTTTGGTTGCCATAACCTCTTGAATTTGTATGGTACTTGAGAAATCATAAAGCAAAGTCACATGTGTTGTTTTAATATTTGAGATTCCGAAGAGCGCTGCAACATCTATTTCCCACAGACAATGACCTCCTCCAGGCCAGCAGTTCTGCATTTGCTGTTCCAATTCCTTGCACAATAAGACGTGTTCATATACCTGCTAAGTAAAAATATGACTAAGTAAACAGTCTTAACTCACAAAAGAGGAAATAATTCCAGGTAACACTCATGACTTTATATGAGATCTTACACCAAGCAGTGGCCTTAGAGGTTTTTGACTGCAAGTTTGACATTTTGCCCAAGAGATAAGACTTGTTACAGACACTACCATTTGTAGGTAAAAGGGATCCTCACTAATTAGACCCACCAGGAGATGGAAAGATGCAAACTTCTCCCAGCACCCTCATAGAGCCATGGGCTTGTATCTACTTTCTATGGTGGGGAGGATATAATCTAAAAGCAGGACTCTCCTCATTTGGCCCCCAAGTCATCACCATCCAACTCTACAGGGCTCCCAACTGTAAGAAAAAATAAATGCTGCCTTGGCCTGTATGGCTCAATTTGTTGGATTATAGTCCTATAACCAAGAGGCTGCAGGTTTGATTCCTAGTCAGGACACATACCTAAGTTGCAGATCGGTTCCCCAACTGAAATTTCTCTCTTGCATCAATGTTTCTCTCTCTCCTTTCCTCTCTCTCTAAAAGCAATGAAAAAATGTGCATAAAAAAAAGAAAGAAAGAAAGAAAAGTGCTTTCTATTTCCATTTGTCAGAAAATTTCACAGCCTTTCACTGTAGTTAAGTGAAGAATTAATAATTCTTTATGTAACTCATTAATAATTTACATGGATCAAGGCCTAAATAAAATGAACTAAGTCAGAGGGGGAACCACACACGCACACACACACATAATCTCAAACTCTTATTTAATAAAAGTTGAAATAAGACTGCAGGGAAAGAATACAAAAATCCCAGAGTTTGATGTTACTCAAATTCCCAATTACTAACATCATATTATACATACTAGAAGGAAAAAAAATAAAAAAATATTCTAGCCAATAAAGATGTTTGATAATAAGTTTTTATAAACACATCTGTTGAATGGATTAAAAATTTTACTAGACATTAAGAAATCAGTATATATCTCATTTTCAAAGTTATTATGACTCTTTCATTTTAAACTCAGTTTATGAGATTTGCATTTGAGTTTCAAGTGGAGCTCTATGTAGCTTTTCAAAACCAAACAATTGACACTCCTTTAAGGGCATGAACACCATTTTTTAGGACACTCAAAGAATACAATTTTAGAAAGAATACATAAGCTTTTCTTCATTTTTTCTTCATTTTTAAAAGGTATTAATTTAAAGAGACTTATCCTGTTCATTGGGCTCTTTCACCATGATACAAAAATAACGGTTCTCTCTTCTCATAATACCTGTGATGTGCTCTTATATTTTCTATTTCTGTAAGACTTGCACAGGTAGACTTATCCTGGTTTTGCATACAAGAATAACTGTATGTGAAACCTAGGGTCCTTATGACTTCGATTCTATTTAGCTTTAAATCCTAGTTCTAGAATACATCTCTCTCTGTATATAACCCCCTCAGAGAACTAGCCTTTCTCCCAGATAATCAGCCACCACTAAGGAGCAGAAGACAGTAGCCTGGACCCGACTAATGATCGCAATGTCGGGACCTCTGGCAGGCTAAAGATGACATCTTAACCTAAGATTTGTTTCAGCTCCTGAGCCCTAAGGTGGAACAACCCCTAGGCCACTTTCTCATGAGACCAGACAATGGGATGCACCTCAAGACCTGAAGTGATTTATTACCCTTACCTCACCAATCTGTTCCCAGCATTACCCTGATCTTATATAACCTGTAACCTACATGCTAGGAGGAGTGTGAGCATTAGCTTCCTGTTCTCCTGGATGGCATCATTCATGATAAAATAGCCAATATTCTTCACTGAAATTCTCATTGTCTAGGGTTTGGCTCTGCTGGTATCAGGTAGACCAACACTTTCTCTTCCATAACATATGCATACAAAACAAATGTTCCTGTCATTATTAACTGATTGAGTCTTATGAGTCAATGGTAAATCATAAAAGTTTGTTCTCTTGTTAGATGTTCATCTGGTTCAGCTCCCTCTCCAACCTGATTACACTGATCATTACTCTTTGTGACTTTTACTAGGCATTCAAAATATTTCAGTTAATAGACAAAAATATTCCTCCTTAGAGCAACTGTTAAAAAACTGGTTACACTAACAGCTATTACCATAAATTAAGTAAGATGGATACTGCATTTGGCTATGAACAAAATATTTTCATCTACATAGAATTTCAGAATGTAAAAGATTCAGAAGGCAACCAGAGAAGTTTTGATATCTTTTGACTTTCACTAGAAAATCATGAAATAAAACAGTAGCTTTTCAATATTTTTTAATAAAGTGATGAAAAGAGATACAATCTGGAGTAAATAGCTGCTTACCACGTCTTTATTTCTCAAGGACTGGAAGTAGCTGAGAAAAGATAAAGTTTTGGAGTACTTCTCAAGATCTTCTGTTACTCAATATTCAGAAGCAAACAGCTTATATTTGAATAGCCTACGAATAAACTGGTGATAAATAGAAACAAAGAAATGAAGGAAAACATTTTTGTACAATATTATACATTTAGAGTGCAAGTAAATTTGTGGGAGAATTAACTGGGATTAAAAGTACTCACTACTTAAATCTTAAAATAATAATAAGCATAACTTTTAAGTGAGTTTAAGCTTTCAGGTTCATTTTAATAGAAGACAAAGATAAATAACCAACCAGAATGATTTGGGGGAAAAAGGGTGAGAGGCAAAATTGTAAGCTACTGTTTCATTGCCTTGGCTGAAGTAACTTACCAGGAGACATACACAAAAGAAAAAATCCTTTACTTTTAGCCCTGTAGGTGAATAAAAAACTTGGCAAAAACAAATTGATACAGAAAAAAATAAATATTGACCTTTTAAATTTTAGAATAAAGAAAAATAGAAGAAACTGGAAACACTGAAAGTGAACTTGAAGGCCACGTGATTGTGTTTGCTTTCATCTGACCTTGAAATCTTATCTTATGACCTAGAAATTCCTCTGAGGCGCACTTGATAAACTTAGTCTTCAGAATCACAGGAAAAGCCTCAATTGAACTATTAGTTCATTAATATTAGTTAATCTCAGAACTGCTGTTGAGTTCATTTTCAATTGTTTTGTGCTGTATTTGTGTTCATGGAAAATCTTGTTCTGTCTCTATTTTCTTCTCTAAGTGGCCTGCACTCATTTCTTTAATCAAAGGTTGAAAGCCGTTCCATAGGTTTGGCTTACCATCTGATTATTTAGAAACTGTGTAATCCAGCTCGTTTCAAATGACAGAAGACATTCCAGTGCAATTAAAAACTTTCCTCTCTTTAACTCTGACTCATGAATAGCTGAGTCTCCAATATCAGGCTTCTTTCCTCACACACATTTGACATTGTCAAACATTCTCTTAGAAATTTGCCTACGTCAATCCAGTCTCCAATTTAAAAAGGCAGTGAATGCCCCTTCTTCTTAGGGATTCCATTCCCTGAAGAGCTGGCTCCTGTCCGCTACCACTGTCCTTTTTGTAAGGATCTGGAATATCCTGTAGTAGGTGGTCCTTGTGGAGTCCATAATTTAGATCACTGCTTTTTGCTCTGAAGTCTATCATATATGAGGACCTGGCTGTTATTCAAAAGCAATATATCATTTATATCTTTTTATTTTCTTATAAAAGCATAAATACCTTTTTTTATAAAATATAAAATATCTGCTGACCAGTTCTTAGATACAAGTTTCTTCCTGTCAAAAAACAATTTAAATGGGTATTTCTATAGGCTAATTTTGAAAAAACTCACAATGTCATCATTTTGTTCTTTGCATTTTGATGTTTGGATTATCAACAATATAATATATCATTATTGACTACCACCTAGAGTCACTAACTTTG